TGCTACTAGGACATATAGGGAGAAAAAGGTTTGGCCAGGAGAACAATTATACAGTTTAGTGTCATTAAAAAAAAAATTTTGTCCGCAGAATGCTGTGATTGACCAATCAGAATGAAGTATTCCAGAGAGCCGTGTAATAGTTTGTGGCTAGCTGTACATTATCGCTTACGTAATGCTTTTATAGCTCATTAGCAATAAACAGCAGGGCCTTCGCACAAGTGCCATACATCATCATCTCATCTGTTTTTGTTCTATTGGTCTGAAATTCTGCAGTTTCTTGCATCCTTTCAGTTCCTCCCTTCTTGTCTCTTCTCCGACCCATTATGTCGGAGCGAGTCTCTCCTCTTGTTTGTTCCCACTCCGTTGTGTCCTGTTACCCCAGGAAGTCATCAGTGGCTTCTCTCCCTCCATTTTTCACATTTCAGTCCGCAGTGAGTGATTCCTGCTCTGTTCCTGCCGTTTCCTCCACTCACGCATTACCATTGTAAGCGTGTCCTCCATCTCTCCCTCCGCCATCTCATTTGGTCTCCCATTATCTCCGTAAGTTTTCCCGTGATGAGTGACCTGCCGTTACTTCCATACATCTTCTCTTTTTCATGTCGCTGCCACGCTGTCATCTGGCCTTGACTCACACTTTTCCATCAAACATGCTGCAACCTTTATCTTCATCCTTAGGAGAATAAACATCTGTCAAACATTTTGTCAGATATCCAAGGATTTCCAAATAAGCTATTTTGTACATATTGTCGCAAGCCAATGTCGAAAGGAGGAACCCCCGACCAAAGCAGCAGGCCCCGGATAGGAAAAGTCATCAATCATGAGTACTTCCACCTGCTCACCCTCCAGACATGAAACCACCCACAGCTTTAGCCAATGATGGCCTAATGGAGGTCATCATAAATATAGGATCTCTACTTCAGTCTGGGGTTGGTGGCCCCAGGACGAGATGCTGAAACTCTGGCTGGCCTAGAGAACAGACCAGCTGAAAAGTAACAAGAGATAACCAGCTAAAGAACAAAGAAAGTGAATCTGGTCACGTCTTACTTAATGACCTTCTTTTCTTCTGCTCTGTCTTCCCTTTTTAAGGTGGCCCATTGGTGAAACGTGCAAAGGGAACAAGATACCCCAGACCGGATAAAACCTAAGTTCCAGTTTAAATCCCCTCCTTCCAGTAACTGGTCATCCACAACCTTGATGCTTCTCCAAGCCTGTTCGAGGTTAGGGTCTTGTAGCTGAGCTGTGCCAAATTGCCCGGACCAATTCCTTTTGCTTGGGGGAAGTCTTCACTGTTTGAGTGATTCCCTAAAAGGGATTCTAGGGGGATTCCCTGCTTCATTTTCAGAAAGGACATTTACTACACCCAACCCTCTACAGACACCTTGGCAATTGAATCGCCATTGGCTAGTACATTTTTACGCATCCATTCAGATGAACTGAAAAATAGCACAGATTGCTTGACGGAGAGTGAAACTCTGAGGCGCTCAGTCAGAGTGTTTGGCGAGTGAAAATGTATTTGTGCTAAACTTATACTTAGCCTCTAACTCACACACTGGTGAGTAAAATCTGAGAATTTATTAGCCATTGGCTACTATTAGACATAATTTTGTTGCCCAGAGTGAAGATCTAGTCGCATATGCGAGTGATTTATTTGCAATGTAGAGGGTTGACAGTGCTTTCTGGGATCACCGACTCACTCCCTGACTGCTGGTTTGAAGGTGCTGTAAAAGGCCAGAAGGACTGATATTTCTTGGAGCTTTGCTTTACTCGGCTGAAGAGGGTTTGAAGACGTCAAGTTTAACGCCAGTAATGCTCATACACTGGGCAGTCCCTACCTAACAGGACTGGTAAGGCTATAAACCACCCCAATTTTGAAAATGTATCCTCCTCTGGGGGTTAGCATCTCAAACTGCACAGTGGGGTAGCTCTTCTTATGACACCAGGATGGGGGGGGCCTTTCGGTCCCAGTGCAAATTCAGGCCGTACTAGGGTAACAATGCATCCTGTCTAGTAGTGTAGTAGGGCTTCTGTGTCTGTGTCCCTGGCTTGCCCAACAGTTCATCCCATAGTGACATGCCTTATTACCTGAGTCTGCTGAGGGCATGGATTCTTCTTTGCCTGGGCAGCTCCAGGAGAGGTGGCCTTCCTGTCCACAGGAGAAACACTTTTGTGGGTTTTGGTTGCTAGAGGGCTGCCAGAGAGGTGGGTTTGGGGCCTGGGCTGGTCTTACTGACCTTGCCAACTGAGAGTCCGCCTGGTTCTTCAGTGGCCCCCCTCTTTCCCCTCTGGTACTGGAATGGCCCATTCTCAATAGATCCTGACAATTCACTTTCATTACCTCAACCATTGCCTGATAGTTATCCAATAGCTGTTAGAGTCTACGACTGCAGGGCTGGTTTGTGCAGCATTGCGCTTTGCCTCAGCTGACAGGGAGCAAATACAACAGTATTGCACAATTCTTTCCACCAATAGGGGCCTTCCCCTGTAGTGAGCCAGGCCTTTCATTGACTTTCTGAGGTCTCACTTGCTGGATCAGATCAAAAGTCCATGAATGGAACCATTGGGCATGAACTGGGAGGCTATGCCCATAGTGGGCCAAGATGGCCTTCTTTAACATCACATAATCAGCTGTATCTTTAGCAGGCAGATCTTGACAGGCTCTTTGTGCTTCCTCTGTCAAAAAAAGGTGCCAACAAGGTACCCCAGTTTTCTTCAGGCAATTTCTCTCTGACTGCAGTTCTCTCAAATATCTCCAGTTAAGCTTCGACATCATCATCTGGAGTCTGCTTAGTGAGGACCCTCCTTGGGTCTATGGTGGCTCTGGTTTTGGGCATGATTTGGCGCATTGTTGTAACTGCCTCCCTAAGGGCACATAGCTCCTCCCTCTGTTTGGCGTGACTGGTCAGAAAGGCATTAATGGCAGCTTCCATTCTCTCCTTCTCTGGGTCTAGTTTTGTGGCTGCTTAAGCGCTGACTTCTGTGCCCACATTCTCCACCAAATGTGATGTCCTAGGGCGATGTGAGGTTGAAGTTTCCACAAAACACAATCACAAGGGAGGCAGATGCAGAGTTAACAAAATTATATTTTTATTTAACCAAGAAAATAGGAGGGTCAAAAGGAAATTTAAACTGGAACTTTGGTTCTTTCCGGTCAGGGGTATCTTTGGCGGTTTTGTTCCCTTCGTTTCACCACTGGGCCACCTTAAAAAGAGAAGACAGAGCAGAAGAAAGGCAAGTCGTTAAGTAAGACGTGACCAGATTAACTCTCTTTCTTCTTTAGCTGGTTATCTCTTGTTACTCTTCAGCTGGTCTGTTCTCTAGGCCATCCAGAGTTTCAGCAGCTCGTCCTGGGGCCACCAACCCCAGACTGAAGCAGAGATCCTAGCTTTATGATGACCTCCATTAGGCCATCATTGGCTAAAGCTGTGGGTGGTTCCATGTCTGAAGGGTGAGCAGGTGGAAGTACTCATGATTGATGACTTTTCCTATCAGGGGCCTGCTCCTTTGGTCGGGGGTTCCTCCTTCCAACATTGGCTTGCCACAAAATACATGTTATTTTTTTCACTTGGGATGAAGTTTTGAGTTTTTAAGACTGCTAAGTGTTTTCAAAAACCCTTCAAGTTATTTTAGTTTCAAAAGATCAATGAAAATTTGATTTGTCATGAAATGACCATTTTAAGCTGAATATTAAACAAACAAAATAAAATAATCCAAAATATACTATATAAACCAGGGGTGTCCAAAATCGGTCCTGGAGGGCCGGTGTCCTGAAGAGTTTAGCTCCAACCCCAATTAAACACACCTGAACCAGCTAATCAAGCTCTTACTAGGCATACTAAAAACTTAAAGGCAGGTGTGTTGAGGCAAGTTGGAGCTAAACTCTGCAGGACACCGGCCCTCCAGGACCAAGTTTGGGCACCCCTGATATAAACAACCTTACTGTTTATTCTAGCTACTTTTTGCGTAAGATACAGCAAAAAAATTTTAATTCATTATTTTTTATCATTTTTAATGAATATTCTTGCGTTTTATAATTTTTTTTACGTATTGTTCATTTTAATATAAATAATTGTAATACAAATCAGTCATTTAAAGCTATTTTTATTAACAATTTAAAATATAATTAATTTAATTTAAAAAAAAATTATATATAAGCTACATGTAATTTATGTACATTGTATTTATATGCTATGCATTTTATATACAGTACATTACACCATATAAACACATAGTTTTATATACATTATACCATATAAACAACCATACTGTTTATTCTAGCTACTTTTCGTGCAATACAGTAAATTATTAAAAATATTTCAAATGCATTATTTATTATTTTTTTTAATGTATTTTACTTTTTGCATTACATTTTTTAAATATTATTAGTTATATAATATTTTTTCATTTTAAATGTCATAAAAAATCAGTCATTTAAAAAGTTTTTAATTTTTTTTTTAAATTTTTATGAAAAATTTCTATTAATTATTTTACTTTTTATTTTGTATAATTAATTTTAAAAGTTTTATATGCACTATACACAGATTTATCTAGCCTTTACAAAATGCTTCAAATTAGGTTAAAGTCAATGAAAACGATGTTTACCATCCTTTTAACTTTAACTAGACTTATTTTCTAAAACAAAATTCATTAAAAAAAAAAAATAATAATAATAATAAAATAACATCAGCCAAACCTGACAGTTGTGTTAGAAGTGGAGGAAATAAAAAATATATATATTTGAAAAAATATATCATATTAAAATTATTATGAAATTAAATAATATTGATTAATAATGAAGGTTTTAATTTATTTTTTTTTTGTCTTTTCTTAAAGATGAAAAAACACCAGTGCAATCAGTAAATGCACTCATTTAGAAAATTAATAGTCTATTATGATTTCATATTGCCTTTTCATGCAGCAAACTAGCACAAGGTTTCCATGTTGACCAGCTTTCTCTCTCTCTCATTCAACCTGTTCACGTCTGCTACTCTCTGCTCTTACAGGGCCTGGGGCCGTGTACGGTGGAGTGGCGTCTCTGAACGGTCGTTTATCAGGAGTCGGCCTGTGGTTCTGCCTCTCCATCTCTGTTCTGATGAAGGTCTAAAACTTTCCCACTTTGGAAGGAGTCTTTAAATACGAACCCATCACTGTGAACAAAATGAAATTATGCATTAATCCAGGAGCCATTGCTACATCACTCTGTCATTCCTTCCTATTCCCATTCATGCCCGGTCGCGTATCACCGCTTCACTTCTCCCTCCCGTCGCCAACGATGGTCACCTTTTATCGTCCAAACCTGATATGTGATGCAAATGATGTGAACGACAAGTGTAATGCCAGTTGGGTGTCTCTTGATGTGCGTGCTGGACATGCTGGTTGTAAAGTGACGTGTCGATGATGACGGTTGCGATGTTCGGGTGACCCTCTTGAAGCTGTTTGTGGCAGTTCACCAGTGGGCCCGTCGGCCGTTGATCCTCGGATCCCGACGCAGAGATCTGAGCTGAACGGTGGTGCATTCTGACATGCGTAGCTACTATGAATGATGTCAAACCACATGTTTTCTTTCTAGCAAGGAGGGCCGTGTCATCTCGGCCCTTTGTTTGCGTTAGTTTGGGCTCTCGACCCAAAGCAAACGCCTGACCCACGTCCAGCCCTCATATTGTCCTCAGTCTGTCCATCACTCAGATCGTCGGTCCTTCACACTCAATGTAAATATATATGCAGTAGAGGCCCCTCATTCCAGCGGCAAAAACTACATTTCCCATCAGTCTCTCTTTTTCAGCTTTTCGGCTAGGAGGATATTGCTGCCTTTAAGTCATGATGGAATTATCATATTTGCGAGATTTACAACCGAAGTGACATTATTAGCCGAGAATCATTGGTTTTGATTATAAGAAGTTTAGTTTGTACACATTTAGTGTTATTTCTTGTGTTTGATAGGAAGTTAAAAAGAAATGATTTAAAGTACTTTTCAAACTCATTGCAAAGTATAGAAAATAGATGTAGTGTTGGAAATTAAAGTATTTGGACACTTTTTGGTTGTCAATTGTTAGTTACTAAAATAAACTACAGCTATAGATGTCATTCATCCGCTAATACTCATTTGAAACGTGCAAATATTTAGAAAATTGAGAGAGTGCAACTTTTCAGAATTATTTGAATGCATCATTGCAACTCATAAGAGTGCAACTTTTCAGAATTATTTAAATGCATCGTTGCAACTCATAAGAGTGCAACGTTTCAGAATTATTTGAATGCGTCATTGCAACTCTTAAGAGTGCAACTTTTCAGAATTATTTTAATGCATCATTGCAACTCATAAGAGTGCAACATTTCAGAATTATTTAAATGCATCGTTGCAACTCATAAGAGTGCAACGTTTCAGAATTATTTGAATGCATCATTGCAACTCATAAGAGTGCAACGTTTCAGATTTATTTGAATGCATCGTTGCTACTCGTAAGTAGGAACTTTCCACAAAGACTTGAAGGCAGCAGAAGTTTCTGGCATCTCCTGGCCTGAAACGGTTCATTGACTTCTTGTTGCTTGTGGATAGCATGTACCGGTTAGAAATGTCCCTCTTGTGACCTCACTTCCTGCACCAACCCCGTTTTAACCCCCTGCACTGTGTACATTTTAATCTGCAAGGTTAACTGCTATTACTTTTTTGGTGTTAATAATGATTATAATGATGATGATGATGATGATGATGACAATGTTAATAAGTATTTGAACTTTCCACAAAGACTTGAAGGCAGCAGAAGTTTCTGGCATCTCCTGGCCTGAAACGGTTCATTGACTTCTTGTTGCTTGTGGATAGCATGTACCGGTTAGAAATGTCCCTCTTGTGACCTCACTTCCTGCACCAACCCCGTTTTAACCCCCTACACTGTGTACATTTTAATCTGCAAGGTTAACTGCTATTACTTTTTTGGTGTTAATAATGATTATAATGATGATGATGATGATGATGATGATGACAATGTTAATAAGTATTTGAATAAATATGATAGTAATTCCATGTGAGAAAAAAAACGTCAGAGCTGATCACAAGCCATGTGTGTGAAAATATTTTGTACTAAAAATCACTGAATTCATCGAACAGCAAAAAGAAAAAAAAAACTTTTTTGAAGTATTGTGCTCTGTTTTACCATGATTAACTTTTTTAAAGCAGAAGTAATTTGACCAAGTCGACTCATCCGTAAAAGAGAGCTATCAGTGAAATGTGAGGACGCTTACATGCTAGACGGATCCATTTTGAGCCTGTGAAAATTAGACTAATATACAGTGCAGCATCGCTTTTCCAAACCATTGCATTCATCCTTTGTCTTTGTCATGCCCCATCTGCACTGAACTCAGTGCATTTGCATTGTAAACTCTAGCATGTAGGCGTCCTAATATCATTTCAAATGTGTACTGTATTTTTTTTCCCATGCTGTTGATGACTGTAATGTACGATATATTCTGCAGTAATGATGTAATGCTCATGTCTGCCTCGATAACATAACCAAAACCCTCAGTATTCTGTGGTTACATACACGTCGACATGTTGGTGCAATGTTGAGTTCCATTCAGAGACGATTGTGGGATATATTCCTATGTGATATCACCAACTTCCTGCAAAAATGCATGCATTTACTGCATGTATTATGCTTGGAAAATGACAATTTATTTTTAATTTTTTTGTCAACCAAATTGCGATGCTATGCAATGCTAGCATTTGTTCTGTAGGTGTGCAGTTAACAGACAGGACCATTCAGTGTGTTTTATGCATATTTGCTAAACATTTTTTACAGAGCCCTGGACATGACATGCAGGAAAAATACATACAGTATATCGTGGCCACGAATTAAGAAATAATTAAATTTATTTATTTTATTTTTATTTATTTATTTTTGTAAATTGTGGCCACACTGTACTAATTCGTTCCCTCGTTTTAGTAAATCGTAGTCACACCATACTAACTTGTTCTCTCAGTTTTGGTGTTTTAGTAAATCGTCATCACATTGTACTAATTATCCCAATTTAGTAAATCGTGGCCACGTTGTACTAATTCATTCTCTCAATTTAGGTGTTTTAGTAAATCGTGGCCACTTCGTACTAATTCGTTCCCAGGTTTTAATAAATCACGGCCATGTCGTACTAATTCGTTGTTTTAGTAAATTGTGGCTACGTTGTACTAATTCATTCCCACATTTTAGTTGTTTAGTAAACCGTGATCCCGCTGTAGCCTACTAATTTGTTCCCTAGTTCTAATCATTTAGTAAATCGTAGTTACAGTGTCCTGATTTGGTCTCTCATTTTAGTAGAAATCGTGGCCATGCCGTGCTAATTCGTTCCATTGTTTAATTAATTGACTCTAAACTAGGCAACAAATTAGTAGCAACACGGCCATGAATTAAGTCGTGGGAACAAATTCTTAATTCATGGCCACAATTTAACTAAAACGAGGGAACAAATTAAAACAAGGGAACTCATTTTTAATTTTGTGTCCACCATAAACATACTTTTGTCCCCATGTCATGTGTGGGGCTAAGTAATTATCCTCTACATCTCTGTGTGAATTTCTGCTCAAATTCCCAATTTGCACGTCTGACTTGATGTTGCATTCCATTGCTCTATTCCAAGTAAGAAGTTGGAAAATCCAACAGTCCGAGCGGAATGGAATGCAATACTAGACTCTGTGCACCGCCTCTTTTTTTTTTTTTGCTCAGAATCAGATTAGCAGGAGATAAAGGTGTAATTAACCAGCGACTGCGACTCGCTAAGCAAGCGGAGCGTCATATTCTCTCTGTCCACCATCTGGTGAGCAGCAGAGCTCATAAATCAAGCTCAGACCAGGCGCTGACAGAATCCTCCTCAAGGACAGCTGTGCCTTTGAGTCTCGAGCCCGATGTGGGGTCCGATCCCCTACAGGCTAATTAAATGCCACTTAAGAGCACACAGCGAAGAGGCTTTGACGTAAAGCAATGGTGCGCAACTGAATGCGCTGCAGCCGCTGCGCTGCTTTATGCAACCATTCACAATGACCCTGAATGAGCGCTGACCGTTCAGTTTGCAATGTTAATGTTGTATATACTATAATACGGTAATGTTCTCCCTGAATATGTGCTCCATTATTGCATTTCAGCCAGCAATAACCCCCGTATAAAAAGGAAACCTATTTAAAGTCCAATTTAAAGTCTGACGGCCACTATGCTGTTATTAATGAATGCTGAAGACCGTGCATTTCGTACGCTGTGCACTGATGAAAGGTATTGCATACTGCTTAGTGGCCACAAAAAGTATTTGGATGCTTAAATGACACTTAAAGATATGTGATTGTCTTTGCATTAGAAAATATCAAACGTAATGCCATTAGTTTTTAAGAAATTACAAACACATTTTAAATACAAACACTCTTCCAATAATTCCAAAAAAGTTTGTTAGATTGCAAAAACAATAGATATACATTTGGAAAAGAAGATTTAAAAATATTTAAACACTTTCGGGTTGTCAAAAGTTAATATTTGTATTTATGTATATTAATTTTTATTTTTATTTTTAAATTTTTGTTTTAATTTCATTTAATTTCTTCAGATAAAATGACAAAAACTACAAAATTACAAAAACTTTAAACAGTAATTTAAATATTTTTTTGTTATTTTAGTACATCAAGGTAAAATAAAAAATGAGAAATAAAAAAAGTTTTTTAATTTAATTTCAGGTAATTTTTTATGGTTTTAGTTTAATATAATATCCCTGTTGAAAAAAAAATCTACAGCTGTACTCATCATTGATCTGCTTAAAAAAAATCCTGACCTTGCAAAAATGGCTTAGAAAAGTGAGAAATCATCTTGGTTACATATGTAACCCTTGTTCCCTGAATGAGGGAACGGAGACGTCACGTCGGATGACCCGTCGGTGATTGTGATTTAGGGATCCCAAATCACAATTGGGATCCCTACTAAAGTGCCACGGATACTGCCCCTTCCAGTGTCCTGTGGAAGCCTCCTGGGCCCCTTTTTTTTTTTTTGGCGTAGGCCGGGGCTTACGACAATAAGACCAGTTACTGCTGCTATGGCACTACCCACTCAGTAACACTGGATAACACTGGGAAAACGTGCCCGTTCCGCTTGGAACCGGAACTTTGCGGAAGCCCATCCTTCCTGAAGGAGATTTCGGAAGCATTTACACATATGAACAACCATATTCACAATGACCCTGAATGAGCGCTGACCGTTCAGTTTGCAATGTTAATGCTGTATATACTATAATACGGTAATGTTCTCCCTGAATATGTGCTCCATTATTGCATTTCAGCCAGCAATAACCCCCGTATAAAAAGGAAACCTATTTAAAGTCCAATTTAAAGTCTGACGGCCACTATGCTGTTATTAATGAATGCTGAAGACCGTGCATTTCGTACGCTGTGCACTGATGAAAGGTATTGCATACTGCTTAGTGGCCACAAAAAGTATTTGGATGCTTAAATGACACTTAAAGATATGTGATTGTCTTTGCATTAGAAAATATCAAACGTAATGCCATTAGTTTTTAAGAAATTACAAACACATTTTAAATACAAACACTCTTCCAATAATTCCAAAAAAGTTTGTTAGATTGCAAAAACAATAGATATACATTTGGAAAAGAAGATTTAAAAATATTTAAACACTTTCGGGTTGTCAAAAGTTAATATTTGTATTTATGTATATTAATTTTTATTTTTATTTTTAAATTTTTGTTTTAATTTCATTTAATTTCTTCAGATAAAATGACAAAAACTACAAAATTACAAAAACTTTAAACAGTAATTTAAATATTTTTTTGTTATTTTAGTACATCAAGGTAAAATAAAAAATGAGAAATAAAAAAAGTTTTTTAATTTAATTTCAGGTAATTTTTTATGGTTTTAGTTTAATATAATATCCCTGTTGAAAAAAAAATCTACAGCTGTACTCATCATTGATCTGCTTAAAAAAAATCCTGACCTTGCAAAAATGGCTTAGAAAAGTGAGAAATCATCTTGGTTACATATGTAACCCTTGTTCCCTGAATGAGGGAACGGAGACGTCACGTCGGATGACCCGTCGGTGATTGTGATTTAGGGATCCCAAATCACAATTGGGATCCCTACTAAAGTGCCACGGATACTGCCCCTTCCAGTGTCCTGTGGAAGCCTCCTGGGCCCCTTTTTTTTTTTTTGGCGTAGGCCGGGGCTTACGACAATAAGACCAGTTACTGCTGCTATGGCACTACCCACTCAGTAACACTGGATAACACTGGGAAAACGTGCCCGTTCCGCTTGGAACCGGAACTTTGCGGAAGCCCATCCTTCCTGAAGGAGATTTCGGAAGCATTTACACATATGAACAACCATCTAGGAGCATACGGAAGATTAGAGGTGATTGCAACCCTTTGGGAAAATAGCAGGAAGTCTGCCGGGGAAACACGGGCTCTGAGGCTAAACCGTGGACTTTACACATATGGGATCCACTTAGGTCTCTACATATGGAACCCAGCCCTCTACCGGTTCTCACGGATTCATTGAGTGAGAGCTTGGCACCAGATGCTCCACCACATCTGGCTGCCGAGGGGACGGAGGAGCTCGACAGGGTCTACGATATCGACTCTCTGAAGCGGTTTTAGCAAGCCGACCTGAAGCCGGGGCCTCTCAGTTCTTGTACCCGTTTGAGATAAGATCACAGGAGGATACTGGCTCCACATGAAGGCTATAGAAT